CTAATTTTTAGCTTGGGAAGTTTGAAAAGTTTTCACTCGGAAGGCCGACTATTCACTCAGAATTATTTGCCTAATCTGCCGGATGTAGGTGATGGGCTTCTCCAGCCCATGTTGTAAATTTTTGTAGGATGCAAAGTGCGGAGAAGAATAAAATCAGGTAGTAGCCCGTAGTAGGGTCATTCATGGAAAACTGCGAACCAATTATTTCTTCCTTTTTTTTAGATCTGAGAGCTGTTTTACACGTCACAGAAATATCTATCGTAAAAGGAATTTTTAGAAATAATTTTCTCGTCATTAATCGGTTGCAAAAGATCAAGAGGCACTCGAAGCAAGCCCTGACAAACTTATTAGCGGCGCCAGCGGAGATCTCCAACTGGCTGCGGTACCACCATGGACACTCGCGTAACCTCTTTTTCCAGAATTGTCAAAATGACATTGCCAAACTCAAAGCAATCATGAATTAAGCATTTCATTTTAAATTCAGTTAGTATCAAGTGGTACATGGTATTCGTATTTTGGGTTGCGTAAAAATAATTTTCAGAAATAATTTTCTCGTGACTAACCCTGTATATGTATTTTTACACCCACATATGGTACAACTGAATGTTTCTTCAGTATAATACTAGTCACATAATAATAATTAAAAAATAAGTTTTTAGTTGCATAAGTACCTACATTTCTTAGATTTCCCGGTAACACAAAATTATTCTTGACGCTCTAACAAAAGTTTTTGCAATATATATTTACAATACACGTAAACCTTTCTCAAACCCTGTAAAAGATCCGTTGCAATTTACAAGGGATTAAAATAAGTATTATATCCGTCCAGTGGAATTTACATTCGCTGCATATGGATACTCTAGATGTACTATTAGTTCATAAATTTTATTGTTTGGTGATATGTATAAAGACAAGAATAGACAATAGAGGCAATTCTGTATCAAAATGTGCTAAAATTTAAAGGTTGTTAAAAATATGATTTTTTAAATAACTGTAATCTAGTTAAGAACAATAAACACTTGTTTTTATGTTGAGTACTTATTATAATGAAGCTAGTTCCTATAATATAATAGGTAAAATAAGCAACGAGATAAATAGAAACAATCTCTTAAAAAAAAATAACCAAAATGACAATTTATTAATAAAAAATCTTATGTAACAAGGTGTTTACGCTCGTATTTTTTAATTTTTAAAGTGCAACTACAAACTTCGTCACTTATCTATATTCAAATTGTTTTTAATTCGATATTTACACCTTACCTGGTTGCTAAATTTATTGCAACTTAAAATTCAGAATACAAAATATTTAGTTTTAATAAAAGAAAATACTTCCCGATGAATTTTACCTTGCGATCAATTGACGCTGCGATAAATTTACGTACGATCTATTGTCGCTGCGATCAATTTACGTGCGATCAATTGTCGCTGCAATCAATTGTCGCGTGCGACCAATTGTGCTGCGACCAGTTGCTTGCGATCAATTGTCGCGCGATCAATTGTTTGCGACCAGTTGTCGTAGAATCCGCCTATGACTAACAAAGCAGCGTCTTGCGGGAGGGATAAGAAATGAACACAACACGGAACAAAAAATGTAAACATTTGAATGCAAGGCTGTAATAGGTAATGGAGGCACCTACCTTGAAATCGACAAAAACTTCATAGTAAATGTTCAACGTGGCCACCATTATTGTCTAGACAACACTGAAGACGGCGACGAAATGAGTCTTTGACTCTTTGTAACATAATTTCATTATTTCGAATTGTTTCAGCAGTACGTATCACTCGTTCCAAAATTTCAAGAGAATCAAAATTCTATATGCTTGCACTGCATTTCCCTGGGTTTCACCATGTACTAGCACCATGTCCATGTATTCACTGTTCGAATAGCGGGGCATAACTTCACACAACGAAAAGTGAAAATACCGCAAAGGAAAGTCGTAAAGCAACTAACTGTTTGGAAGCTGATTAAACGTTATCGCTAGCCAACTCGCCAAAAAATTGGGTAAAAACAAATACATTCCACCTCATGCATCCAAATTGAAATTCACGGTCAACAATTAAAGAAATGCATGGCCGGCTCGTTAAATAATGGGGGGGTAAAACTTGCCATTACATGAGACTACCTCAGTTTTATTATACAATATTTTGAAGCCATAGTCGAGAAAGTAGATATTGCTAAATTATGAAGATGACAAAGACGCCTATGTTTCTCAGGAATTCATTCCTCATCTATGTTCTAATATGTTGAACGGCGCCAGCGATTTTCTCACGATTTCATTTGACCATTGCTTGATCAGAGAACTTGAAGAAGAATGTTTCTCCGAAATCGTTCAACACGTTCCTGTTTCGATTAAAATCACCAATAACAGACTAACTTCTATTAAGAAACGTACTTTTAAGAATTAAAAATTAGAACAAATTTTTCTGTAGGGGAACGAGGGGCTTGTTGTAACAGTTTTTAGGAAAACGAATTTAATTTGGTATCTATCAGCTGTTTGACCATTATAAACAACGGGCGGAATTGTGTTTCATACGCTAGATCCAGTGCTGTCGCGGCGATAGTTTGATTACAAATATATTTTTCTTTTGGACTATATCAACATAATAAAACATTTCAAGATCACAAATCTGTGGTCCTGTGTTTGAAAAATTAAAAAGGGCATCGAGTATTTTTATTTGAAGTAATATAGTAATATAGAAGTAGTTTTTAACAAGCTGTAAACACTCCAAGCGACGCACTGGCTACGACCTTGTGGACCAGATCAAAGCGTCCCCGCTACTCGCCGTAAAACACACCTTGCTTCAACTGGGGAATTGCATCCGTAAGATATTTTTCCGCCCAGTGATTATAAAAGTATCTGTCGGTAGTCTAATTATTCCCCTACTGAACTGAACAGGCAAAAGGTCAAAATTGTTCATATTCACTTCATACCAGGCATTTTCTTAAAAAAAGTGCACTGTTACAACTTGCCCCGTGTTTGGGGCTAGTTGTAACAGCTATGAGGCAGGTAGTAAGAGTAAAAATAAAGCTGATAAAGTGCGAATTTAATAAAGCAGTTTTAACTAATTTTTCTTAACAATATGTTGACAAAATATTGACTTCTATAAAAGATAAATTTGTTGATGTGTTTCAAAGTGTTTGTTGTTTAATCATCAACTTCACAGTGTGTAACAAGAAAAAAATAATCTTGATACTTATTCTCGTCGTTGTCGTTGTCGTTTTGTAAAACCATCGAAATAAATAGTTATAGTGAAGGTTTTCTTCTTCATTCGGAAGTTCATACAAAAAATTTGTGCTTGGCGTCAAATAAAAACTATTATCACCTGATGTTATCTACAATTCAGCACCAATTTTCAGTGGACTGAATCCATTTTAACTCTTTTTTGGAAAAATTGTAGACTGGCTTTTCCCGTAGGTATATTTAAACTGATGTCGTGACGGAGATTTCGGATTTGTAATAGCACCTCTCCACGTTTACCGCCTGCACTAAAATTACACCGTAGGGAAATCCCAAAATTTATTTGTCAACAATTAACATATTTTGTATGTTATGTTAATAACGAAGCCGTTTCGCTACTGTGCTGCAAACTGTTTAATTTTTCTCATGAATTAGAAATGTTTGATTTTAACAATTGTAAGATAGAGAAAATTGAAAAATACTTCTCTGAGAGAGTTCAAAATGGCACCATCAAAATAACCAACAATCGAATAACGATTATCGAGAAGCACACATTTCGAAACTTGAAAGTTCGTCAGATTATTTTATCTAAAAACTCCATCGTGTGGATCGAAGATGAAGCTTTCGCAAACTTAGCAAACCTCATGTCCTTAGACCTCCGTCGAAACCATCTATCGACTCTCAGTTCCAACAGTTTTGTCGATCTCCCAACTCTGGCCAACATTGATTTAAGTTTTAATAGCATCAGACACTTGCACAGAGGTGTTTTTAGATTTTGTCAAGCTCCTGGTGCAAGTATTGTTCTTGCGTGTAATGAAATTTCCGACATCGATAACGCTTTTGAAGGAATGTTAAGTACAGGTTTAAATTTATTTTTGGGTGGAAACCGAATCGAACATCTGCCGGTCGGAGCTTTTGACAGTCACAGTTTTTTCGAAGTGGACTTTAGATTTAATCCTCTCAATAAAGTCTCACTGGACTTTTGCAGAAGAAATTGTAGCATAGATAGTTTTTATTTTGATTGTAGTGCGACGAGCTTTGAGGCTACCGAAAATATAATGAAATGGGCAGAAGAGAAAAAAATTCGACACTTGTCAGGGCCGTGGTCATATTGGATGATGGATTTTGCTTATCTATCTTGACCGGGCTGCAACGGAGGAAGAAAGTTGTTCGGGTATGAACTATTTTATATTGACTACACTGTTTTAACGACGTCTTTTTTGAGTACAGTGGACTTAGGGTAAGGTGGTCAAGCATTAGAATGCTGTAGTCCACCTGACTACGCCATTTGAAATAAATATATGTCAGATTTTCAGTAAAAACTATTAAACGTTCTTTTCTTTCCAAATGGAGCACATGGAAAAATAATTTTTACTTTGTGGTCATCATAAAAATTTTTCCTGGAACGTGAAGTAGAGAAATTTTTGCACAGTAAATTTTATTAAAATTTTATTGCTACTTTGTTTATGAATCCGTCTTGAATTTTTACCGTAAACATCCAGATTTGTATAAAAGAAATAAAAAGTGAAACTCTGTCGTAACCATGGTAAATCGTTAGTCAAAATTTATCCACTCTAGTCTTCTTGCCACGTAATCCAGCAGAAATGACCAAATTTACCACAATAATATTGTCTCGTCCCCAACTCAATACTTATTTATTGTTTAGTTTAATTTTATCGTTTGGTGCAGTACTGCGCCCGCAACCCTCGCTACACTGGTGGCCGGCCTATTGCGGCCCTTTTTCTTTTGGTGTCCGCTTTTGTAGCAACCAGTCGAGTGGACTGGACGCGTTTTCGAGTCGTCGTAGTCGTACCAGTGATGAGTCGTATCGGCAACGACAGTACCCGCCATATTATTGTTCCCGCTATCGCTGATCCCGCTATTATTGTTCCCGCTATCGCTGATCCCGATATTATTATTCCCGCTATTGTTGAACCCGCTTTTGTGGAACCGCTATAACCCGCGACAGTGCATGATCTCAATACCGCGCACCCCTTCCGAGTGCTTTCTCCAGGAGCACCCAGGCCATCACCTCCAGGCCAAGATCACTCAGAACGCACAGCTCGGTAAGTCCATCTTATCTCTCTCTGGTAAGCTACATATTTATTTTATCGTTCTTCGAGTTAGCCGGATTAGCGAGGGTTGTGTTAGAAGTGATTAGGTTTTTGCGCGTTGGTTTTTCTGCTAATCTGACATTGTCGGTTTTGTATTTGGATCATGGCCAATTCGGAAAAAATTAAAAAGCAGCAATTGCTCAGACAAACCCCTTACAATAGGGTAGTCGAAATGAATACCTTAGCAAAACAGGCTGAACATAACCTAGATGACCGTGATAGCTTCGCCGTAGCAATCGGTGAGCTTGAAAAACTGTGCGCGAATTTTTATCGTTATGACAACGCGATCATCGGCTTGATAAACGCAGAGGCTTTTGATGGGGAAGATGATATTCGAAAAGTCTTCGACTCCATGGTTCTAGCGATTAAGACAATTTATTTTAAAGTTCAAAAGGCAGCCGAGACCAGTGAGCCCCCTTCGGTTGCTTCCGCCCTTAAATCTAATATCAAGCTACCCAAAGTGGAGTTACCGAGCTTTCCTGGTGATATTACGACATTTATGCCTTTTATGGACATGTTTAATAATCTGATTCATAAATCGAGCGATTTAACCGCCGTAGAAAAATTTAATTATTTGCTTTCCGCGTTGAAAGGGGAAGCTAGAGCGCTAATAGAAATTCTACCAATCACGGATAATAACTATTTAACAGCATACTCCGAACTCCATAATCGTTACAAATATTGCAAGCGCATTGGATTGCGATTGTTAACGCACCGAAGATTCATTCGGAGCATCCGCAGGAATTGCGAACACTTATAGACACGTTCTCAACTCATTTGAAAGCTATTCGTAATTTTACATTTCCTATAGATCTAGCGGATTTTGTATTATTCAATGTAATGCTTCAAAAGCTAGACTCGTCATTAATAACGCGACTCGAACTTCACCACAACTCGAAAGAAATTCCCACTTATCATAAACTGTATCAGTTTTGAGAACACCAATGGAGCGCGTTAGGCAATGCCATCCCAGTTAAACCTCAACAGAAAAAGTTCATCTCACATAAGCCTTTTACGCCACAACCGCGATTTACCACGTCTTTAGTGGCTAAGTCAGAGTCGCTACGGTGTCCTGTTTGTACCTCGCCTCATTTAATCTACAAATGTCTGGAGTTTCTCGGAAAATCTCCCTGTGAACGCTACGCCATTTCTAAGTCGAAATACTTGTGCCTCAATTGTCCTAGTAATTGTCATGTGAATAAGGCGTGCCAGTCTACTCACAGTTGTCGTCACTGCGGTAAGAGGCATCATAGTCTATTACATTTCGAAGCGATTCCGAGCGGCGATTGTCAGGTGACAAATTCTGCGGAAGCTACCTCCATCAAACCAATGAGTGGAGTTGGATTTGCATCGCCAGCAATGGGAGTTTTATTGGCTTCCGCTTTAATAGAAGTTCGCGATAACGGCGGAAATTCTAAGGTTCTTAGAGCGCTGCTAGACTGTGGCTCACAAAGTTCCTTCATTTCGCAACAAGCCTTCCAATTGCTAAGTCTGTCTAGACGAAATACTTCAGGCCTGGTGCAAGGTTTGGGTCAGGTAGTTACGGCAGCCAATTTAGGTTCAGTGATAATAACGTTTCGACCGGTAGGCCAGTTAACGCCCACTTTCAAGGTAAATGCGCTAATTTTACCCAAGATCTGTGAAGACTTGCCCTGTGCGTGAATTTCGGCCGAACATTGGTCTCATTTTCGTGCCAACCCACCGCTCGCAGATCCTTCCTGCGTATCTCGTGCAGGTATCGATAATAATAATAATAATAATATAATTTATTGTCCAACAGAACAAATATTCCACTTACTGGACAATTTCCAATTAAACAAAATAAAAATAAAAGAAAACAAAAATAGTAATATATACCATATAAATAAAAATAAAAAACACGTTTAGCATACCAAATAAAAAGTAAAGTAAATTACATTCAATAAATAAACTATCAATTATAGAGATAGTACAATAGAAAAACAAACAAAATATGTATCCCACCACTTCTAATAGAAAATAAAAAATAAAACAATAGAGAAATTATAGAGCATATCTCACTATCTACATACACACACGAAATCGACGACGCACATGTGAACGCAACTCCGACAAAGAGCTGCAGTAAATATCCCACGAATCACTAGAACTTTCAACCATATTTAAGTAATGACAAAATAAATATACTGGAGCTCTTCTGCCAATGTTTGTTCGAGGTCTAGGACAATATAGTGTTACAGCGTATCTACAGTTAACTCTCGGAACATGAAAGTTTAACAACAGTGAACTACAGTGTATGTGATTATTAAGTAATTTATACAAAAAAGTTAAAACTGCTTATTTTCAGTTATGCCGGCCACATTGGCGTTTTGAAAATACGACAAATTCCGCTTCTTTTAAAAATTATAAAATTAGATTTTGCGATTTTTGTTTCGTAACAATTATTAACCTCTATAAAGTGGCGTAGTTAACATCCCCGCAACTCCTGCGTCTTTAAATATGAAATATATTTAATTAAAGCATATAACCAACTGGAAAAAAAAATAGACATTCTCAATTTCTTAGTGTATACTTAACTTCGACTCTCTATGTTTATACGTCGAGCGGATTCGACTTTTAGTACGTTCAGACTACAAGCATCAATGTTTAAAAGAAAATGAAATTTGGTTGAAGTTGTTTCCTCAACGTATAGGAAACTACATAAAACAATCTTAAAGTATTTTTATGATTTCACAATATTCGGTTTTTGCAATTTCAAAGTTAAAATAAAAAATATTCTTATACATTGTTGATTTCTTTTCCAAAAATATGGCTGCTAAGGGTAAATGCATGACTATGTATTTTATTTTATAAAATTTAAAGAACATTTGTTCGATAGAATTCTAAAATAATTTTTTGGGAAGGCTTTAATCGAACAAATTTTGATTACCGATTTATTTTCAATACATTCGCTTTTGCCATTTTAAAGTCAAGTTGTAAAATACAATTTGAATTTTTTATTAACGATTTACAATGCTTACAATAATAAAAAAATATATAAATAAAGCTATCGGTTTTGCAATTTCAAAGTTAATTTGTAAAATCTTGTTATGCAATTTTGATTTTTCTCTCAAAAAGTGCCTCTTCAACACCTAATATTTTAAGGGTGGCGTCTGGTTCGGTTTCGCCCAATACTAAATACATTGAAAACATCGTCGTAGTTTCCGGAATTGCATTTTTAAAATACTGAAATCTCCAACCAAGTCAGAATCTAAGTAAACCTGCATTCTGCTACCGCATCACAGCTCGTTTAATGCCGATTTCTCGTTTCAATAGATTTTGACTTTTCGCGAGTTATTTACCTCAGTCGTGGATTTTTTAATATTATAAATGGTATCAAAAGAAAGCTGACACTTTTCCCCAGGGGACCTCCTATCTCAGAATGCAAAAAACTTCAGCACTTCGTCAAAAAATGCATCAATGTGCCGGTTAAAATGTGATGTAAAAGTTGTTCAACTTTATAATTTTTTTTTGTAAAAACTGCATACTAGATATGAATATAAATATGGAGGTCCCCTGGACTGAAGTTTGTTAATTCGAAATATATTTTTTTTAAAGCGATATATCTCATATTTTTAAAATGCAACTCCGGAAACCGCGACGATGTTTTCAATGTATTTAGTATAGGGCTAAACCGAACCAGACGCCAGCCTTAAACGTAAAGTTTGCCAAACAGCGAGCATTGACTTCCTATTCCCAAAAGTACCTGCTTTTGGGTTGCTTGTCTGAAACTCTAAAAGGTATTCATGCACGGCTCATTCAAAGGACCATTGTTGTTTTCTGGCAAGCAGGAATTTAGGGCTGTGTCGTAATCCTGAAGAGCTTATTGCTGGCTTCCAATATAGTTAGACCGCCCCATTATCCTCCCGTATTTTAACTTTCTACCTGCTGAAGTTGAAGATGAAGTTTGCATTATAACGGCCTTGTGGGAGCACGAGGGGAAGGGAGAACGGCTACATACAAATAATACACAGCTAGTAGTCGCTAACTCGCATTTGACTTGGGAACACCTACCTTAGATAGCTTGAATTCAAAAATTGTAAAAATGTCCCGCCGCATTGCTACGCTTAATGTTTCTCCGCCAGAAATAGTTGTTATTTTGGAAGACGATAACACGTATAACCAAAAAATAACACTATTCAATCCATACCCTGTTGCCCTGAAATATGACGGTAAATATGCTTTTAGAAGATTTGTTCAACGCCAACTGATATTTTTGCTTTACAGTGTATATAAATATCGAGTCAAAATTTAAAATAGAAAAGAAGGGCTTGCCGGTAATCAAGGCGCGCTCGAGCACTCAAGTGTACATCAGATGTGTGAATCCGGTTGCCGAAGACTGCAACGTAGAAAATAGTTTTTTTATCACTTTAACAGACATCAGTACAGAAGAGGTAATTTTTTTCTTGTTTCGGTATCGTGTTTTAATAAAGTATATTTTTTAGATTGTACTTCAAACATGTATCCGTGGAGTAGTGCGGTCCTGTGGTGAAAAACAAGTCACAAAAAATCGAAAACAAACATGTGACAAAACTGAAAAAACACAGAAAGCTACAAAAAGAGACCTTGAGGTTTTTGCTTGCGAAATCGGCCATCAGGAAAGAGACGAGTCGCCGTCAAAACCAGTGGAAGAAGTTGATAATCAAGCACAGGAAAACACCTGCAGGTATGCATTTTTTATTTTATATATTCAGAGTAGGCAGTAAAAATTCAATTCTCAATTTTTTACTGTTTTTTTGCAGTGTGAAAAGAGTCACGTTAAAAATTGACGATTTTTGGAAATTAACATTTAACAACAAAATAATATTAAGTTAGAAAACGTTGTCTTAATGCAGTGAAAATTGGTTTAACGCAGATTATTGAAATAAAATTACTAGAAAGAACACCATCTTGGAACCTTTGAAAAATTTTCTTTAGCTAGAACTGCTTTAAAATTCATTTATTTTTAAAAGTTAAGTGACGGTGACAAGTTTTGAAATTAACCAGTAAATGGAAGTAATCAAAATCATAATGCTTATAGAAGGATACCTTCATAATAACAGTTCCCCCAGGCAAATTTTTGTTTCTTCAGAAAGTAAAAGGGAGCATAAGAATACATCACTTTATTAGAATTTTCTGTAACAGCAATACGAAAATATTCTGCATAAGTCAGTCGAATATTCTGTTTTCAGTTATTATTAAACAATTTTAACATTAAATTACAACAAAATCCTGGAAGTGGGATAGTGGGAACCCCCTTCTTGTAAACACAACCTAGTCCTTCACTTTATTGCATTGGACACATTTTCCAAAACACTTGCATTGTTATTATTGTCAGTAGTTTTATGTGTGTTATTCGATTCCGCAAATCTTCCACGACATTTAAGGGTATTGCATGGCTACAAGAAGTCACAATCTAGACGGCGAGTTGCTTGGTGTATTGCGACTAATAATCCTATTGTCATAAATTTCAGCCCAAAAATCTCTTATAGCTCCTGTTGTATGAGCAGTAGCACCATCCTGCTGCCATAAGCAGTAAAACGCACGTAAATATCCATTATCTGTTAACTCGCCTGCATGTAAGGTAATAATAATACTAATAATAATACTTTAGGCTCCGAAAATAATTACCCTCTTATAAATATACGACAAATCATATTTTTTATTGTACACCTTTGTTTGTTGTGCAATCATTTTTATGTAGTAATTTTAACTCGACTAACGCCTCGTCGCTACACTATTGACTTTTTCACTGATATTTATTTCATTTGTTTCCAGGCCTGCATCGTGCAAATTATACTTATTGCTCTGTGCAATTGTGCTGTTTCTCCTAGCGATAAATTGTTTACCGAAAAGTCGACCGTCACAAGAAATGTCCGTACGAGAACGCTGGTTCTTTTATGTTACGTGGCAAGTACAAGTAACATACTTGGTGGGATTTATTTCGGCCTTTTACTTTAAGCACGAAATATTAATGATTAAAACTATTTTAACTAATTTCTTTAGTGAACCAGAAACATAGTTAAAAATAATTTGTAAAAAACATTAGAAAGCCAAGGCATAGCCAAAATTCAAATCGTGTCATGAGAATCGTCAAAATTTTTTTACGTATATATAAATCTACATATCGTAGTGCTACTTTTTGTTTCGAAAATACTTACGATAAAAGAACAGAAAACTGGAAAAACTAGTCATAAAACCACGGTTATCGTGCGCGATCTACGCTGTCCACGTTGCACTTGCTGCGTACACATTAGCGCACGATGTTTTACAAATTCAAAAACCACAAATTGTAACACTGCAGAAATACACCAACCACCGTTTTCCGCGTTGCTCCGCTGGAAATAAATTTATATTTAGGAAACGAAGAAACACATTATTATTATTATTATTATTATTAAACTACGGCCCCAACAGGCCGAAAACTGACAATACATACATACTTTTGGTACGGTCAAGGTGGAACGATTACGGACACGAGTTCAGTAGAAACCATTGTATAGCCGAATTCAACTACAGTAGCGTCCGGTTATAATGAACTCAAAAAATGTAACAAAACTAGTTCATTATATCCGAAGTTCACTATTAACGGAAAAATAAAAACTGCGTTTGTTTAAATTCAATTTACTTCAATTCTACGTTGGGAACAATTCAAAAAATATTTCTTGGTTTATAAACTAAAAATAAAAAAAAACATAGCTATTTATGTAATTACATATAACAAGACGTCACATAAACACAAGTCTACTTGACAAAATCAGTTATTTTTGTCTGTACATATCTATTAGAAAAGTGAATGTCACTAATATAGCGTTCGAGGTTGCAAAAGCTGTTCCATATAGGCTCCGGAACAGTGCGCGATTCTAAAAAGTTGCGAGTCTCTGCCATTTTTTGCGCCATTTCATTAAGAGAAGGAACATAAACATCAACATCTTCATCAGACTCATTTTCCTCACCCTCGGCCTCGTCACTTGTTGCCATGACTGATGTCACTGATTCTATAATCTGCTCGTCAGTTAGTCTTTCTGTTACCGTTATGTCGTTATCAATTTCCACATATTCTTCAAAATTAAATTCCCCGATTTTCTCTTGCACTGCAATTTCAATTGCATTATCCACATCTGTGAAAATAAGTCCAGGATCATCTTCATGTTTTTTTAACCATTCTGTTAGGGGAAGCTCATCGTCTGCATCAAATTCAGCACTTTTTTCAGAAAATCCTCCATGCTTGAAACAGTTTGCTATTGTATCTTTGCTAACCTTTTGCCAAGCCATGTGAATAAAATTTACAGCATCTAAAATGCTAACTGAAAATGTTTTTCCGTTGTCCATAGCCTCTATCATCTGCGCGAGTAAAATTTTCCTATAATGGCTCTTTAATGAATGAATTACACCTTGATCCATCGGTTGTAATTTTGAACTCGTATTCGGTGGCATAAAAACTAATTTAATTTGGTTTAGTTTAATCTCAGGGTGAGCTGTACAGTTATCAACTAAAAGTACAATTTTCCTATTTTTTTGTTTTAATTGTTCATCCCATTCAAGCAGTTCATTTGTGAAAATTTCAGAGGTCATCCACGCGTTACGGTTTGATTTGTATTTTACGGGCAATTGTTTATTTTTGAAACATCTAGGATTGGCAGATTTGCCTATAACCAACAATTTCCTTTTTTCTGTTCCAGACATATTGGCAGCTACTAAAACTGTAATCCTCAATTTAGATAACTTTCCTCCAGCACAACTTTCTCCCACAAATTTTAAAGTCTTATCAGGAGTCATTTGATAAAAGAGCCCTGTCTCATCAGCGTTAAAAATGTCTTCACTGTCATAGTTTTTCCGAATATGAGGCCAAACATTAGTTAACCAGTCATTAACAACATTCAAATCTACTGCTGCAGACTCACCCACAATTTTTCCTGTTCGGATATTATGTCTTCTTTTAAAACGTTCAATCCAACTTTTAGAACACTTGAAGTCTTTGTTTTCGATTTTACTACCCATTTCATTAGCTTTTTCTTGTAGAATAATACCACTTACAGGAACGTTTTCTTGTCTTTTTTGTGTAAACCACTTAAGAAGCCCTTGATCCATTTCATGGTGCTTTGATTTTCTCATTTTTTTACACGTAGAATTTCCCTGACCATACGCTGATAAAATGGCTTCTCTTTGCTTCCATATCATAGAAACAGTGGATTTTATCAAGTTCATTTCCTGGCTAACATCGCGTTGTTTAACACCACTTTGTATTTTTTGTATAATATCATACTTGTCCTTTAAGGTTAGAGCTTTACGTTTTTGTTTTTCCATTTCGAACAATGTTATTACACAAGTAAGTACTTATGTAGCGCTACTTCGACACAGTGACCAAGAATCGACTGGCACAGAAAGCAAGTTGGTGGGGAAATGCGTAGCGCGTAAATCAGGGAATCCCCGAAAAGTTCATTATAAACGGAAAACTGCACTTTATTTTGAATAATATTTAGTTCATTTTATCCGAAAGTTCATTACAAGCGGATTCAGTGGTTCATTATAACCGAAAAAAAATACATTAGATATATGGAAAAAATTTCGTTACTTGAAATACAGTACACTATAGCCGGAAGTTCATTACAAGCGGGTTCATTATAACCGGACAATACTGTAGTATATTAAGGATATATTAAGGATGTGCATGGCGGACCTGAAAACGGACAACACCCAAACAGTAGGTCCGAAAACGAACCCTGACTTTCCAGGCTGGTTGCTTGAAATGACGATAGGAGGAAATACTGAAGATGGCACTAATTCAGGACCCGATTAGACGATTATAAAGCTAACCTAAACTTTTAAAGCAAATGATTTATTAGAGGAAGAAACATACTCTAAAAAAATTACAATATTTTGAGACCATCCAAAATGTAACGGTAAGTGATAATTAATAATTTTTAAACCGATTTTTACTTTTTTTTTTTTTCTACAGTTCATACAAGACCATCTTTACAGGAGAGATTGGGGAGTGTTATTAATGGTGCAACTCAGAGTCGATTTTTGATTTATTCTAGAGAAACCAGGCTTTCACCCCGCGTACGATTCCTTGGATAACGAAATGACTACGCCATAAGTCCGGCTGGTCCGAGACCAGCTATCGCCCGCGAAGCCCAAGGCCGGGCTCAGACCGACGAAGGAAAAACCGCCACAGACGGGGAACTCTATAGAGAACAACCGCTGGTATGGTTCGCACGAATTCCATGAGTAGCCCAGCTGCACCTCGCCCAATCCTAGCACAGGCTACTACCTTGGTACTTGGTACCCAACGTATGGCACCTCGACGACGTACCAAGTCTACGATGTGTACGGTATTATCCCTTAAACAGAAGGTCAAGGCTTACCACCCATGTCCTCCCTAAAGCCAAACGGTACCGCCGTCGCCGCCATGTCGGGAACGAACAATTCGGCGTTCGGACCCATAAATCATACAGACAGCATTAATAATAAGGTATTAGGGACCATTTATCCAATCGCAGAACAAGCTAGTACGAGTACAATTTATTATGGGTATACGACGGCGGGTTTTCCGGACACGGTCAAGGTGGAGTGGGCAATATATAACACGAAAAAACGCGAAGAGCCTCCAGACAGTGGCACGATACCCTCGAGTTCAGTAGAGACAATTGTACAGCCAAATTCAACTAGCGAACTGCCACCGATGACGATAAGAGGTCGAGAAGATATATTAAGGATGTGCAAGGCGCAGCTTGCCTGAAAGGACGGGAAGAGGAAAAGCCAGAAGATGGCACTAATTTAGGTCCCGATTTAAGTGACTGGACAATTGTAAAGCTTACCTTGACATGTATCAACCTTTTAAGCGGATGATTTATTAGATGAAGAAACACACTCTCAAAAAATGACAATATTTTGGACCATCGGAGATGTAACGGTAAGTAATAATTAATAATTTTTAAACCAATTTGTTAGTTATTTTTCTACAGTTCATACAAGACCATCTTTAGAAGAGAGTTTGGAGAGTGTTATTAGTGGTGCAGCTCTGACGGGAGACTCTAGTTATGCTAAGCGATGATGGGCGAGAAAGAATTGTAGCTGAATATAACGCGGTGAGTAGTAGTCAGGTTATATCACTTCGATTTTTTATTAATGTTTTTAAAAATATGAAGAGTTCGACTTTGTTTAAAATATGATAGAGGATATTTTGAACAATTTTTCTAAATTTAAATAAAGTTTGTTTTAAACATTCTACGAAAGTTAAAATTTATTTCCAATTTATTTTTAGGCAACCAGTAATACTCAACAGCAAAATAAGAAAAATATTTAAAATAACATGACGTACGTTAAGCCAAGTCGTTTACTTTTCTAAAGAACTGATTGAAAGTGTATAGTGTCACTCTCGCAGTACTAGAGCCACTACTAAAAATTCCTACTATGACAATTAAATATCGACATGAAATAATTACTATTTTCGACAGCTGTACAAAGTACAATGTTACATACCATTAGATCATTCTACTCACTGATTATACATTAACTAGCTGACCCCGTGAACTTCGTTTCACCTACAATTTAATTTTGAATCTGCAAAACTGAATGCTTGGAAATCTTGCAGATGTTTTAAACATATGATAAGCATAATAAATTTTTATTCAAAATATATTTACTTATCCCCTCCAAAGAATTGATGACGTCAGCCCAAAATTTTGCCAAATGAAGCCTATCTAAAATGTCCAAAATAGGATGAGACTATACTCGTGATTTATCATTCCATTCATATTTTTTAGTTTTGCTTATAGGGGGTGCCTCAAAAAAATTAATCACTGAGTCAATTTATTTTATTGATTGAATCAAGAATTGCAAAACTGAATTTTGAAATATTGCAGACGCTTTGAAGTTACTATATGGCATGGTAAATTTTTAATCAAAATATATCTGTTTATCAAGCCCAAAAACTTCATCAGTATATATTCGTAATTTATGATTGCATTCATATTTTTTAGATTTGCTTTTCCAGTGACAAAAAAATGTATGGATCAGTCAATTTATTTTATTGAATAACTCAAGAGTTGGAGAAATGAATACTTTGAGATATTGCAAACATTTTTAAGTTATTGTAAACAATGGAAAATTATTACGAATATTTATTTATTCTCCCCACAAAATTGATGGAACGGCTCACTCGATTTTCGCAGATAATTTTGAGAATACAATACAGTTATTTTTAGTATTACACTGCACCAATCCAAGGTGGTATACGTGTTGATCGTAAATCTTGATTAGGTCATCACAAAATTGTGTTAAGAAAAGACTCAACTCGAAAATGCTGAATATGTTTCATTATACTTCTGGTGCGAAGGAAGTTCTGTCGAAACAACGTTCGATCAATTTTTTGACAATGGTTGATATAAATAAAACTCAGTAGATGCTCATACTCGAAATACGAAGTATCTACTCGAATATCAAATCAAAATCTTTCTAGTTTCTCTAGATGATGCTAATACTTCAGTAGGTAACAGTTGATGCTCAAGTAGCATCTCGATA